CAGTTTAATGAAAAGCTAATTGCACATAGCTATGCAATTCCAATTATTACATATTTTTTTATTTCATAATAAGTGACAATTGAATTTTATTATCGATTTTCAGTATTTTACATGATTTATCAATAAGCAGTCAAATTTATTATATGTATGCATACAATACATTTTCTTTATTATTATTTATCCATAAATTCGCAATGGCTTGTGACAATTTGCCTTTTAAACAAAAATGATAAAAGATATTTTGTCACCTTTTGTCACGATAATGATTTATATTAATATATTATAAATTAGTTTACAAAACATTTTCAATTATTTTAAAATATTTTTGAATGAGGGATGTAAACAGTATTTGATAAATGTCACATAGATTTTTTGATTTTGATAATGGTAATCAAATATTGGAGATACGTGTTTGGAAATATTGAATGATTGATATAACCGTCCATTCCGTCACGCGTCCCAATATTTGAATAGTTGTACATTTTTATTTTCTTTCTCTCTCACCCCAATTCCATTCATGGCGAATTAAAATTGCACTCGGAAAAATCTCACAATGAAATCTCGCGCTTGGCTTTGTGACCAGAATTCCAATAAGCCTATTGTGTATATATATATATACATATATATGTATGTGCGCGTCTACGAGGGTTGTTTTGTAAAATGGGGTTGCTACCATGCGCATCTTGGAAACGAGGGTGGCTATCTGAGCTTTATAGATACGCCATAAATGATAACCGTAAATGTTATCTGTGTTTATTTCACGACCGGAACAAGAACAAGAAGAAGGTGCCAAGAATAAGGGTAGTATTTTTTTTTCTTCCTTTTTTGTGTGTTAAAGTTGGGGTGTGTCCATGCCATTTTCAACACATCAATTTCGATATAAAATGAAGACCAATACACCGAAGTTTCTCATTTTATTTACGTAATAACTAACATAGTCTTTGTTTTGTAATGATGTATAGGAAAATTATATACAAAAAATATATTTATAAATAAATTTTTGATCAAAATTTAGTTTTTACAGAAAAACATGTTTGTATTTCATCTCGTGTTATTAGAAAATATAAAGTAATTGCGAAACTTTATTATTGGCACGCCAGAAAACACCATTTACTTGAAGTTGTATAAATGTAAAACCAATTTGGAGACTACTTTAAGCAGAATAATAGAAGGAAAAACATCTCATTTATATTTTATTAAATTTAAGATTTACAATAAAATTTTATGTTTTTCTTAGATAATTTAATGTAATCAACAACAATAATTTATTTTAGTTTAATAAGATTTAAATTTATTAACAATAATTTCAGAAAATTGGTTTAAAAATCTTATAATATTATTTTCAATTAAAAGTTAAATGACAAAACTAGATAACTTTAATGATTCAAACTTGAATTGTGCTGACCTGAACTAATCTAACTTAAACTTTAACTAATGTGATTTAATCTAAAGTAATCTAAGCAAAGGTGATAAAAGCTAACCAAATATAACTTAATTAACCCTTTACGGACGAACACTTTTTCAAAGACGTATTCTTAATACAGTAGCCTCGCATACTACTAGGATATGGCGGATATATACGCCGTTTGCGGATTTGCTTAAATAGTCTAAGTCCACAATTGATTTGCCACCAACCGCAATAGCCATTTTTTCGAGCGCAAAAAAACATGTGCATGATATATGTTATCACTTGATGGATCTGTCGCCACAATAAAAATGTCAGTTGTGTTATCCACATTCTCACGCGTAATATTAATTGGAGCGTTACGCAGCTTTGTGGAAAATTCCAAATCATCGAGAGCTTCAAATTGAATTGTTCTGAAGTGCTTTCGAAACACAGAGCTTTTTCGCTTCCATTATTGTTTCTTTGTTTTACTTAATTTCAATGCTTTTGTTACAATCATTACAAAACACTGTTTGAATTTTAACGTTGTTGTTTTGATTGCTTTATTTAATTGTTTGAAATAAAATCGCATTGGTAAAACAAATCTTGAATTATATTTAATTATTTAAGTTAAAATAATGTATTAAGTAATTAAGAAACGCGAAGGATACGGAAGGATAAGAAGATTCGGTTCAGGTGGATGCGTCGAGTACGGAAGCTAAGGAAAAGCACCGTTTAATAAATTAATGTATCCATTATCCTCATCGCCTATAGGGAATTACAAGGATAATAGTATTATACAGAATACTAATTAATTGGATAAACATCTGACACTCGTGTTAAACACATGTTGCTCTTATTTCTGAAAGATAATTACTCCTTGATCTGCATCACATATGCTACTAAACTGAATACTTTAATCTTAGAATCAACGTAGTATTTCACATACTTGTTGTACGTTTCTTATTTTGTAATTTAGTACGGAAACCGAATTTTTCCATTTTATTGCAAGTGCATTGAATTATTTATATTATGTAAACAAGTTATATAAAAGAGTATGAATAAAGGAAAATCATATAAATTTTCAACAAAAAATTCCTTTCTTTTGTTAACTGTTTTTATTCATTAAGTATTCTATTAGCAGTGCATTTTCAGCTCGAATGAATTACGAAAGAACGTGCGCTTTTTGAGAATTTATTTTAACGCGATTTTACTGACGTCTGGTAAAAGCTTAATTACGGTCGGCGTTCCATTGAAATTTTATTATTGATTTTATTACCTGCCTTTTCATCCACTCACAAACATTAATAGAACAAAACAAAAATGCTGAAATAGCGTACAGAATTTTTATGTATGAAAACATAATGTCTGTACTTTTTTTTCATCAATTGAGGGTAAAAAACGCATATTATGAAAATTGATTTGTGTAAGTAGCAATTTCATTATTGTGTAATTGTTGCTTTGTGCGATTGAAGGGTGAAGTGTATAGTGAAAAATCGCTTTTCGCATGGAATCGGCGTCGAAATGAATCAATAATTGATATACACGATATGCACCTTTAGTAATTAGCAACTCGGAAGGGGTGGACCTGTGTTACTAATTAAATACTAATTACTACTCGGCCCCCATGCATTGTTCCACCTGTTAGGAACGTGTACCCTATCCATTGCATTTAACATACCTTTCATGATTTGGACAAAGCAAATGAAACTCATACCAGTTTTGATCAAATTTCAGACAACAATATTGAATATGGGCAAAGCCTTCCATCAAAATATTTAAAAATCACTATAATTTATTTATTGAATTAAGTTAATGATCATACAATTATGGTATAGTAGTAAAAACATATTTCTATTTGATTATGGTTATATTATTATATCATTCCTTTTTTCTGTAAAAAAATCATCAGTCTATGGGATGTTTTATGGAGGCTATGGTAATTAAGTTTGGAATTTTATCACGTTCGTTATACAAGGGTCGTAGTAATGGTGAAAATGGAAATTGATTGATGGGATTTAAGGTAGGCAATGTCATTGGTTAATTTTTTGGATGGTTGGGGTGGAGACGGAAAGCGCAGCATTGATCTGGGCTTGAGGTTCTGGGGTTGGAAAGCAGGTACATCCCCTGTTTGTTTTGGATAAATTCTTTTCCCGGGCTCTTTAATCCAACGGATATAAACGAGCACATCCGCTTACCGCTTGAAATGATATACGGCTCCAGTTTACTTGACAACAATGATACACCCGGAGGATACAAGGAGACGCCGCTTATTGCGCACTTTATTAAATGAATAGCATCAATCAGTGATGAGATCATCTTTGTTTTTGTTTTGTTTTTCGTTGCTTGTTGTTTTGTTGTCCCGATCCATTTCAACCCCTACGGCTTCTGCGATATTAATTGGTTTTGCAGGTATTAACGCTCCCCATTATACCAGTAACAATGGGGTAAGCTTTATAAGCCGACCTATGTCAATGCGATTTTCTGTAAAATTTTGTAAGTAGATTATAAAATAATTGGCTATAC